CCGGGGCAGCGGGGCTGAGCAGCAGCAGCAGGGTGCAGGGTCCGACCCACAGTCCATGCGTGGCTCTTCCTGTCAGGCCTGGAGCACACCGGAGGCTCTGCAGACAGGTCGGATTGCTCGGGCTGGAGCACAAGGCGGGCAGAGCAGAGGCAGCCACCGCCTGTGAACCGCAGGTCCTGGCGCAGTCCCCGGGGCAGACTCAGGAGTGGACCTCCTGCAGATCCCCAGCTGACCACAAACGGTGCCACCCCTCACTCGGACCCGGTCCGGCACATCTCAAGACAGCCACCCCGGGCCTGTGCGAGGGTGGGCAGTTCTGCCGGGCCAAGGCGGGGGGGGGGGGGGAATGATGCTGGGTGCAGGCACATCCGGGACATGGAACCTGCTTAGGGGCTTGGGGATCTCCAGCAGGGTCAGTGGGGTGCTCAGAGCAGGGGAGGGGGTTCTGAGAGGCTGGAGGAGCTGATGTGCACCTCTGGAGCTCCGCAGACCTGTGAGCACCCAGGCTGGGCCCGCAGGTGGGTGTGCAGGGAAGAGGAGCCTGGGGAAGCAGCAGCAGCCATGCCCCCCGCCCCATGCACCCCGCCCCATGCACCCCATGCCCCCCGCCCCATGCACCCCATGCACCCCACCCCATGCACCCCACCCCGTGCACCCCATGCGCCCCGCCCCATGTGCCCCACCCCATGCGCCCGGTCCTCAGAAGCCGCCAGGGGGGGCCTCCTCCGCCCCCAGGTGAGAGGGTGGACAGTCAGGCCTCCTGGAGACCGGCGGCAGAGGACGTGGCCTTGGCGGCCTTGCCAGCCTCCATGGCCCCGCAGCAGGACAGAGCCGCTGGCCGAGGCACGAGAGGCCTGGCCCCGCGGCCTGCGGCTGCCCGGCCTGAGAAGGGCACCACGGAAGAGATCCAGAGACCCTGCGGCCACCGCAGGAAGGCACTTCGGCACATTCTAAACATGTCTTGACGAATTTCAAACGGGAAATACATCTCTTACGCTTCCAATAAATGGTTTTCTCTTTTTAAAATAAAATTTGCAAAGGAAGAAACCTCACAAAGGGAGACACTCGTGTCTGATCTCTGGGCAAATTCTGCAGGAAGGAGGGCCGGGGCGGCGGGAGGCAGCGGCGTGCTCGGCCCCTCCGCTGAGCTGGGGGAGGGGCGCCAGAGCCGCTGGCGCGAAGCCTGCCCGCTGCCTGCAGCTTGAAGAACGACTTCCTGTCAATAAATGTGAACAAACGTTTGGACCCATCTTCAAAGCGATGAGTTATGCCGAAAGTATGTTCCTGCACAGAGCGGCTGGATGGGCCCTGGTGCTTTGGCGTTTGCCGGGAGAGTTTATAAATAACCGCTGGGCCGCTCCCACTGCCATGGGAAAGCGCTGTGGAGGAGCACCGCGGGGCGAGCACAGCAGGCCGCCGGCCGCACCAGGCCTCCCGCAGGGCTGGGCACTGAGCTGGGGCCATGAGGGGCCCCACAGCCTCCATTTGCATTTTGGAGGGAAAGGGATGGGGCAGATAACACATGTGGTTTCCATCTGACAAAAAAAAGAAGAAAAGCCATGCACCAGTGTCTCCAGCACAGTTCTCGGTTCTTGCTATTTTAATGAGAAAGTTCACAATTAGGGACACGGGAGAAAGAAGAAGGGGGTTCTCTTCACACCCACCCCACACAGCCCCCCGCCCCCAGCCCACCCTCCACAGCACTGGGGGAGAGAGGAAGGCAGAGGAGGAGGAGAGGGAGAGAGGAAGAGAAAGACAAGGAGGAGAGGGAGAGGGAAGGAAAGGGGGAGGAAGGAGGTGTCCCCAGGCCCAGCAGTGTGTTTGTCCGTGGGAGGGCGCCCGGCCCCAGGCAGCTCCTTTGTCCGCGTTTGAACCCGTCCCAGCACGAACGCCCCCCGCAGCTCCCAGGTGGCCCTGCACCCTGACCGGAGCATCCACCAAGCCGGCCCCGCGTCCCGACCAAGTGTCCACCAAGCCGGCCCCGCGTCCCGGCCAGTCGGCAGAGACACTTGCTCAACGTTTTTCCAGTTTTTTACATTCCTCCTGCCACATTAAAATATCTATTTGCACCCAGCATGAGATAGATCGGCGTTTTAGTAAGCACGCTGGAAGTCTGGTTCTTTAAACAGGAAAAGAGATGCCACATGCCGGCTGAGGAGGCCGAGGGGCAGCTGGCGGCTCAGGAGCATGGCCGCGGGCTGCAGGCTACCATGAGTGAGCCCAAAGCCTTCCAAGGCTGCCAGGCGGCGGCCACGGCCAGGGCGTGGACAGCCCCGGCCAGCACAGGGGGTGGACAGCCCGGCCACCATCAGCACGGAGGGGCGGTGGGGGGGGATGAAAGTGGTAGATTGAACCCCTTTCCGGGTCCCGCCTCTCTCTCTCTGGACTTCAGCTCCTAGGTCTCTAACATGGGTATTATAATTAAAAACAACAACAGCAATCCTGGGAGCCATGGCCTCCTGAGCTGTGTGGGGAGAGGAGGGCTTCCTGGACCCCGGAAGCCCCCAGCTCGGGCCACACCCTGCTTTGTGTCTGCACCCTTCCCCCGCCCACACAGTGTCCTGACCCTGGGGACACTAGGAGCGCACAGGGACCGGTGACCGGTCGCCAGCCCCAGGGTGCGAGGCCCACCACCGCTCCCAAGCAAACCACCTTAATAGCTGCACTGCCCTGGAGAACAGGGCCAAGTCCTCCCCTGGTGTGCTCCTGCCCTGACTCCTCTTGCAAGGAGGAAGGTGAGGCTCTGGGGGGGGGGGCTGGGAGCAGAGGCGGGGAGGGGGGGCTGGGAGCAGAGGCTGGGGGGCTGGCGGCAGAGGCTGGGGGGCTGGGAGCAGAGGCAAGGAGGGGAAGCTGGCAGCAGAGGCTGGGGGGGAGGCTGGCAGCAGAGGCAGGGAGGAGGAGGCTGGCAGCAGAGGCAGGGAGGGGGAGGCTGGAGGTCAGGGCTTCACCTGGGGCCGTGCACATCTCTCTTGGTGCCCCCGCTCTGACCTTACCCAAGACCCACCACAGAGGGGCAGCGGGCATTGTCCATTCAGCGAAACAAGCGTCCGTGGTGGGGGGGGGTCACTCACGAGTCCACCCCAGCGATAGGAAGAAGCTGAAGAGGCTTCTGCTGCCTGGAGCCCAGCTGCCCCTCCACCCTGAGGCAGCGGCTCGAGGGCAGCCGTGTCCGTATCACGGCGAGGGTCCAGGCAGGGCCCACGCACGCGCGTGTGTGGAGGGCCCTCTGGTCTTTGGGTCACGGATGGGATCAGATACAAGCAAGGAGCCAGCTGACCTGGCTGTAAGCACAGAGGGAGGTGAGGGGCGCCGCCTGCCGAGCCCCCCACCACCCTCCTCGTCACAGTGCTTAACACACACCACACAGGAATGGCCACTGCTTCCCAGAACCCCCGTGATGAGCTCAGCTCCGTGGAGTGGTGGCTCCAGCACCAAGAGTGCTGACAGAGGGCCGAGGAGGAGGCAGGGAGAAGAGTCCATGGGGGGTGGGGGGGACACGGCTCTGCAGGCTTAGGGATCCAGGCCCCTGCAATCATAACTCACTGTGGGAAGACCACAGCCCTGCAAACACCTCAGTCTCGGACTCACAGCTCCAGGAACCGCCAACGTGCTCCCATTTCTGTTGCTTTAAGCCCCTTTGTGAGCATTTGGTATGGAAGGCCTGGGGTACCAATGAGCATCCCACACCCTGCCCCCAAGTTCCCACCCCAGCACCCATGCAGATTTCCCTCCTCAGTCCCGCAAGCCTCCCAGGGCTGCCTCTGCCTGGCCCAGCCCACTTGGCCTGCAAGGTGATCTGGTAAAAGGTGCCCCAATGCTGCTTTTGCTGGGCCCAGGAGTTAGCGGAACACAGGAAGAAAGCACCCCGGCCCTGCGTGCGGAGGGCGTCTCCCCTCTCAGCCCTCTTCTCTGCAGTCAGTCTGAGATCACCTTGGAATCTGAGAAGAAAAAGACTGGATAAGAATAAGGGACTGAAATCACCCCAGGAAGCTAGCTCAGCCATTCCCTGAGCGGCCCGGACAGCAACAACTCCAGAGCCAAAAACCAGCTCCAGTAGTGGTCCACCGGGCCATGTGTTCACTGTGACTGTTTAACAATTACACAGACCTCTCTCCCTGCCCCAGTTCTTTGTCTATAAAACCTAAAACTAGCCACCAGGGTCACAGGTGGTTCGTGCCTATAATCCTAGTTACTCAGGAGAATAAGATCTGAGGATCAGTGTTGGAAGCCAGCCTGGGCAGAAAAGTCTGTGAAACTCTTATCCTAATTGACTAGCAAAAGGCTAGAAGTGGAAGTGTGATCCAGGTGGTAGAGTACCAGCCTTGAGGGAAAAAAATAACTGCAAACAGTACAATAAAAAAAAAAAGGAGACACTGCTTCTGATTTCTGTACCCTGTGTCTTGTATATAAATGTGTCTGATTTGGGGAAGGGAAGGGAAATAACAAAATGGTGACACAAAGGGCAAAGTGTGAACCGACGCCACAGCGATACTCACTGGACACTATGTTGGAAATGAGCTTTACAACTTGGGAGGGAGGGGAGCTGGGGGGAAGGAGGGGAGCTGGGGGGAGGGAGGGGAGCTGGGGGGAGGGAGAGGAGCTGGGGGGAGGGAGGGGAGCTGGGGGGAGGGAAAGAGGAAGAAAACAAGGGAGGGGGTAACACTGTTCAAAAGAAATGTACTCGTGTACATGTGCAGGGCTGAGGGGGGCGCAGGGGTGCAGTGGGAGGGCACAGGGGTGCAGTGGGAGGGCGCAGGGGTGTGGTTGGAGGGCACAGGGGTGTGGTGGGGGCGCAGGGGTGTGGTAGGGGGCACAGGGGTGTGGTGGGAGGGCACAGGGGTGTGGTGGGAGGGCACAGGGGTGCAGTGGGAGGGCACAGGGGTGCAGTAGGGAGCGCAGGAGTGTGGTGGGGGGCGCAGGGGTGCGGTAGGGAGGGGCACAGGGGTGTGGTGGGGGGCACAGGGGTGTGGTGGGAGGGCACAGGGGTGTGGTGGGAGGGCTCAGAGGTGCGGTAGGGAGTGCAGGGGTGCGGTGGGGGGCACAGGGGTGTGGTGGGGGGCGCAGGGGTGCGGTGGGGGGGCAAAGAGGTGCAGTGGGGGGGCATTGGGCACAGGGGTGCGGTGGGGGGCAGAGGGGTGCAGTAGGGAGCGCAGGAGTGCGGTGGGGGGGCACAGGGGTGCAGTGGGGAGGGCACAGGGGTGCAGTGGGGAGGGCACAGGGGTGCGGTGGGGGGCACAGGGGTGTGGTGGGGAGGGCACAGGGGTGCAGTGGGGAGGGCACAGGGGTTCAGTGGGGGGGTGCAGGAGTGCGGTGGGGGGCACAGGGGTGTGGTGGGGGGCACAGGGGTGCGGTGGGAGGGCACAGGGGTGTGGTGGGGAGGGCACAGGGGTGCGGTGGGGAGGGCACAGGGGTGCAGTGGGGAGGGCACAGGGGTGCAGTGGGGAGGGCACAGGGGTGTGGTGGGGAGGGCACAGGGGTGTGGTGGGGAGGGCACAGGGGTGTGGTGGGAGGGCACAGGGGTGCAGTGGGAGGGCACAGGGGTTCAGTGGGGGGGTGCAGGAGTGCGGTGGGGGGCACAGGGGTGCAGTGGGGAGGGCACAGGGGTTCAGTGGGGGGGTGCAGGGGTGCAGTGGGGGGGGTGCAGGGGTGCAGTGGGGAGGGCACAGGGGTGTGGTGGGGAGGGCACAGGGGTGTGGTGGGAGGGCACAGGGGTGTGGTGGGGAGGGCACAGGGGTGTGGTGGGAGGGCACAGGGGGTGTGGTGGGAGGGCACAGGGGGTGTGGTGGGGGGGCACAGGGGTGCAGTAGGGGGCACAGGGGTGCGGTGGGGGGCACAGGGGTGTGGTGGGAGGGCACAGGGGTGCAGTATGGGGCACAGGGGTGCGGTGGGGGGCACAGGGGTGCAGTGGGGGGCGCAGGGGTGCAGTGGGAGGGCACAGGGGTGCGGTGGGGGGCGCAGGGGTGCAGTAGGGGGCACAGGGGTGCGGTGGGGGGCACAGGGGTGCAGTGGGAGGGCACAGGGGTGCAGTGGGGGGGTGCAGGGGTGCAGTGGGGAGGGCACAGGGGTGTGGTGGGGGGGCACAGGGGTGCAGTAGGGGGCACAGGGGTGTGGTGGAGAGGGCACAGGGGTGTGGTGGGGGGCACAGGGGTGTGGTGGGGGGCACAGGGGTGTGGTGGGGGGCACAGGGGTGTGGTGGGAGGGCACAGGGGTGCGGTGGGGAGGGCACAGGGGTGTGGTGGGAGGGCACAGGGGTGTGGTGGGAGGGCACAGGGGTGCAGTGGGGAGGGCACAGGGGTGTGGTGGGAGGGCACAGGGGTGTGGTGGGGGGCACAGGGGTGTGGTGGGAGGGCACAGGGGTGCGGTGGGGAGGGCACAGGGGTGTGGTGGGAGGGCACAGGGGTGTGGTGGGGGGCACAGGGGTGTGGTGGGGGCACAGGGGTGTGGTGGGAGGGCACAGGGGTGCGGTGGGAGGGCACAGGGGTGTGGTGGGGGGGCACAGGGGTGTGGTGGGGGCACAGGGGTGTGGTGGGGGGCACAGGGGTGTGGTGGGAGGGCACAGGGGTGCAGTGGGGAGGGCACAGGGGTGTGGTGGGAGGGCACAGGGGTGCGGTGGGGGGCACAGGGGTGCGGTGGGGGGGTGCAGGAGTGCGGTGTTGGGCACAGGGGTGCAGTAGGGGGCACAGGGGTGCAGTGGGGGGCACAGGGGTGCGGTGGGGGGCACAGGGGTGCGGTGGGGGGCACAGGGGTGCAGTAGGGAGCGCAAGGGTGCGGTGTGTCCCATCTCTTCCCTCACTGCTGTCAAGATCCCAGGCCCACCCGTGGTGCCATACTGTGCTGTCCTGTCCCCTGTGCTCCAGCCTTCCTGGCCTCCTCCCAACCAGCCCCAGCCAAGCCCTCCTTCCAGAGCTGGGTACTGGGGGAGCCAGGGGAGCCAGGTAACAGCAGCACGCTGGACTCCGGAGGCTCGGCCCTCAAACAGCTGAAATGTGCTCTTTGTACTTTGGGAAGTCATGTGACTCCCAAATTACCTCTGGAAGGATTTACTTCCACAGTGCTGGTAGCCATCCAGGATCTGAGGCTGGGAAGCCGTCTCCGTGGTGACCTCCCCCAGGCTCCCACTGCCAGCCTGGCAGTGTGCCCGCTGGCGGTGTTTGAGGGGTGCCTGCACCGCTCGGGGCGCTCTGAGCCCCGCCAAAGGCCTGGCTGCTCTGGGCAGCTGCACTTGGGCAGAGAGCAGGCGGTGGAGGCCGACTTCCATGGCTCCATCTCATTCCAACTGGGAAGCACGCTGTCCAGCAGGAAGGATTGGGGGGGGGGGGGGGCGTGCCAGGCAGCCGGCGGTGGCTCCCCAGCCCGGGTGCCTTGACACCACTCCGTGGAGTGAGCCGACCTTGACCCCTCTTCCTGGCCTAGACAGCCCACACCAACCAGGATCGGCGTGCCCCTGTTTGTCTTGGCTGGAGGTTCCTCGTGGCTTCTCAGTCACTCTGAAGCTCGGCCAGTTGCTGTTCTTTATTCTTATTGAAAGGAAGGAAATGCCAGGGGCCCTTTGGAAACCTGGGCTGATGGCACAGAGGAAGGAAATGAGGAAATTCATTGAGCTAAATGGTGGAAATTGGAGATTAGACTGAGCCACCACAGGAGCCACTGTTCCCCACATACGTAGATTTAACCAAACTTAGCCCTGTGCATGTGGCTCAGCTGCTATCTGCAGGGCCAGCCTCCCCCGGGACTCCCAGCCCTCCCCAGGACTCCCACCCCTCCCCAGGACTCCCAGCCCTCCCCAGGACTCCCAGCATTCCCAGGACTCCCACCCCTCCCCAGGACTCCCAGCCCTCCCCAGGACTCCCAGCCCTCCCCAGGACTCCCAGCCCTCCCAAAGACTCCCAGCATTCCCCCTGGGACTCCCACCCTTCCCCAGGGACTCCCAGCCCTCCCCAGGGACTCCCAGCCCTCCCCAGGACTCCCAGCCCTCCCCAAGACTCCCAGCATTCCCCCTGGGACTCCCACCCCTCCCCAGGGACTCCCAGCCCCCCAGGACTCCCAGCCCCCTCCCCAGGACTCCTAGCCCTCCCCAGGATTCCCAGCCCTCCCCAGGACTCCCAGCCCTCCCAAAGACTCCCAGCATTCCCCCTGGGACTCCCACCCCTCCCCAGGGACTCCCAGCCCCCCAGGGACTCCCACCCCTCCCCAGGACTCCCAGCCCTCCCCAGGGACTCCCAGCCCTCCCCAGGACTCCCAGCCCTCCCCAAGACTCCCAGCATTCCCCCTGGGACTCCCACCCCTCCCCAGGGACTCCCAGCCCTCCCCAGGGACTCCCAGCCCTCCCCAGGGACTCCCAGCCCTCCCCAGGACTCCCAGCCCTCCCCAAGACTCCCAGCATTCCCCCTGGGACTCCCAGCCCTCCCCAGGACTCCCAGCCCTCCCCAGGACTCCCAGGCCCCCCAGGGACTCCCACCCCTTCCCAGGACTCCCAGCCCTCCCCAGGACTCCCAGCATTCCCCCTGGGACTCCCACCCCTCCCCAGGGACTCCCAGCCCTCCCCAGGACTCCCAGCCCCCTCCCCAGGACTCCCAGCCCTCCCCAGGATTCCCAGCCCTCTCCAAGACTCCCAGCATTCCCCCTGGGACTCCCACCCCTCCCCAGGGACTCCCAGCCCTCCCCAGGACTCCCACCCCTCCCAGGGACTCCCAGCCCTCCCCAGGACTCCCACCCCTCCCAGGGACTCCCAGCCCTCCCCAGGACTCCCAGCCCTCCCCAGGACTCCCAGCCCTCCCCAGGGACTCTCGGGAAGACAGCCCAGCGGAGACCTTAGGGTGACTCCCGATAGAGGAAGGCGGGTGTGGAGGATGCGGGAGGGCAGGGGGACTAGAAGGCCTTCTGTGAAGCGTCGTTTCATAGCATTTTTCTAAGTAGAAATGTGACACGTGTTTACATTATGGAAACCCGGCGTCTGTACGAACCCTTGAAGCCCTGAGTTCACAAGCTGAGGCCGGGCCGGGCCGCGTCCTCCGTCCTCGGCCCCCTTTCACACTTGCGGTCCTCAGGCTGTTGGCGCCCACTGTGTACACATTTTCTTTTACTATTAGGCCAGTGTGCTCCTTCCAGGTCATTCCTGATGACCGCATGCCCCCCTCCATCCGCAGGCTCATCTGCCTTTACATGAAGGATAAGGATTGAGTCTAAGGTAGGCTCCCTGTCGGACATGTCAAACCAGCATTTTGTCATAAGAATAACGCATCCTCGCCGTACCAGAAGACCTAAAATCAGTGTCGGGAGTCACAGGAGAGTGGGCGCTGTTGCTGTGCCCGCGGGAGAGCCAGCGACACCCCTGGGCCTGTCAGCCGGGTGGGGCCTCCACAGGCTACCAGCCCAAAGCGGGAGACACCCACAGCCATGGGCTCCGCTGGGAAACGCGACCACCGCTGACAAACTCCTGGGCTCCGCGCAGACAAGTCTGAGAGTTGAAAGCCCAGGGCGCAGCCATGGGGGACCCCGTCCGCACCGTGTCGTGGGGTTCAGCTCCAAGAGCTCCATCATCTTCTCACAGAAAAAGCTCCCTCGTGCATGTGAGGGGGGCAGGAAAAGGTGCCCTGAGACTCCAGAGCACCCCGACTTCTCAACAGGCTGTGCTCAGAGAAACCACATTCACTCCAGCCCAGCCTGCTGCAGTCCTCGCAGAGGTCACCTGGCCTAGGGGCAGGGCAGTGACCTCCCAGCGCCCCCAGAGCTCAGAGACACCGGGATTCACAGTCCGAAGCAGTGCTACCACAGCCAGGGCCCGCGGCCCGCACCGCCACCCAGGCCCAGCCCAGCAGGGAAAGCCAGCATGTTCCCGAGTTCTTGTGACCCACACGTCACCACTGGCTACTGAGAAAAAAATCCCAGGGCATGCCAAAAGCCAAACTCAACAGTTAGAAGAGAGGGAGCACCATGAAGGGCAGACTCGACAATGCCAAGGATGCCAGTTACCAGACTGGGATTAAACCACCATGACCGATACGCGAAGGAAGAAAAAGCAGGAAGACATGGAACACTACTAAGAGCAGAAATGAAGCACATCACTACGGATCCACGGACAGTAAAAGGATAATAAAGGAGCAACTCAATTAAAAATGGACAAAAACCACCAAACAAGACATCTAAACATGTCAGCGCTCAGTCACCTGCACAGACAAAAGGCACAGTGGAATTCTACTCACCCAGGGGAAAGGATGATATTGTCCCAATTGTAAAGAAATGGAAAGACCTGGAAAATTATATTAAGCAAAGTAAGTCAGGTCCAGAGACACGGGTACATGCTCCTCATGTGTGGAGGCTGGATTTAGCTTACAAATAAATACATTGGGTGGTATGCGAGTGTACACAAACGTGTTCACTGATATATGATAGACCCAAGGAAGAACTCAAATCCAACAAAATGAACACCAGGCAGAGGGCAGTGGAAAGGGGCAGGGTGAGGTGGAAGGGAAAGGAGTCAGGAATGAAGAGGAGGAGGGGGGGGAGGAGACGCAGTCAAGAATCCTACAAAAGCAAGAATTGGGAGGGAAGCGGCGGGTAGGAAGGCCGGGTGAGGATGCTGGAAGGGCTCAAGATGCTTTGTGTTCGTGAACGCCTTCGTTAAATGGCAGTTCCTTTGTACAACTACTTAAAGAGACTTACAAAAAATAATGTTAGAAAAAAAGAAAAGGAGGCGGAAATAGCTGCTGCAGAGGAGGAAGCATGCCCAGAGGGGAGAACTGACCGCCAGGAAGAGGCCCGTCCCTCCACACAGCTGCTGCTGCCCACGGCCGCCGGACCGGCTCTGCAGATGGGCAGCAGGTGTTACGAGTGATTCTGGCACTTCTGCCGAGAGAGGGGCAGGTCCGGGAGCCGTGCATCAGAAGGAGGTCTGGAAGCAGGCCCGGCGCCAGCCCCGGCCTCAACTGTGCCCACCAGCATCCCAGCCAGCCCCTGGCGACGCACGTGAGGGTCAGGACTGGGGAGGAGGTGGAGCTAGAGATCAGTTAGGAACCATTGCAACCACCGAAGCTCTAGAGTCAGTGCTGATCTGGATTCGGGTGCTAGGCGAGCATAATAAAAACATACAGTGCTTGCTATATGATAGTGTTTATATAATAAACTGTGAAGTTAAAACTGCAGGGTTAGTACTAGACACCTATTATGAATGTAAGCCAGTAAGATTTACTGACAGACGGTTAAATGGGTGAGACATGGTCACAATATGTCTTCCATCAAAATGCTGGAATCCTTTTCTTTCCCCTGGTTGGGCTGGCTCTGTGATTTAATCGATAAAACCTGACAGAAATGCCTGGCAGGCTCCAAGGTTGGACACTAGGATCTGAGCTTTCCCCTTTGTTCTTCTGATGCTCTCGGTGAGATTCCCAATGCATCTGAACGGGAAACTCTGCTCAAAGCCCTACAGAGTGCCCATCATCGGCCAACACCCACCACCCACCCATGGCTGGAAGCCATCACGCAACTTCACACTACCCAGGACTGGCAGAGTGGAATAGCCAGCCAGCTGAGCCCCGTTAACCCACGCCATCAGGAGGGAGATACAGGGTGGTGGCGATTCGGAACAGTAAGCATTGTCGTCACAGTTCTCCATCTCAGAGTTCGGCTGGAGGAGGCCCACTGAGATCCCAGTCTGCCTCAGAGCTGAGGTCCGAGGCTCAGCCTTCGCCCCGCCATGCTAGCGGAGGGTGGCGTGCTTTGTTTATGGGCTGAATGCAGAGAACTTGTAAGAACTTGGCCATATTCTCAGCCACCCCATCCCAGCCCTTTGCTTTGGCATTTCTTCTGGCCAGGGCAGCCCGGGCTCTGCTGCAGCCCTCGGTGGCCTGCTGCCCGGCAGCCTCCACGCGGCCAGGTGCACCCGCTCGCGCTGCAGGCCCGCCCAGGCCTCTGGAGCTCTGGCAGAGGGCCTGCCCGGCGAGCCCGCCGGCACTCAATCCTGGCCCGGGGAAAGCTAAGTGCTCGGGATATTATTTCAACCATCTTTGAGAGAATGAGCCATAAAACTCCAGGCTGGTACCTCTCAGCATTCGTTAAAATCCTCTTAAAGTCCAGCCTGCGCCCGCGGGAAGCCGTGCCACCGGGGAGCACTCGCACAGGTGAACTGGATCCTTAAAGCGCGTAAATGAATGTCATTCCCCATAATTCTTGGTTTCCCAAAAAGTAAGTTTTACAACTCTGTTGCCTTCCTCCCGGCAGGTCAAGAGTGTGACTGGCCCGTGGAGACGCAGGCCACGGCCT